AGGTTAAAAAAATGTCATAATAAATGTAGAGCTCTTTACCTTACAGTGTGACTTTGTATAAATGACATTATCATTTTGTTATGATATACATTAGAATGACATTTTCATATATGACAGAAAAGATTCACTATATATTTTTAAGACTAATTATCTAAAGTTCAACTGAACTATGTGGTTTAGTATAATTATCTTTTATTATAATTTCAAACAACTACAAATAATAATTATTTTCAATATTTTGTAATAGCCAAAAAAATTCTAAGTGCCTGTCACATCATTTTTTGTTCCTACGTAAAAATTAAAACCACAAATATTTGGGTCAATAAAATCAATTTAACGCTTGTCGAGTAAAGGTAAACGTAAAAAGTTCATCATATTTGCATGGCTGTAAATTAATTGTAAATTGTGTAGGTAAAATAATTAAGTTAAATGTCAATCCATTGCATATCATAGCAAAGTCACCTTAAATGCATTTAACTTAAGCATATATAAAAGCGTAGGTTGATTGAAATATATTTACCCATGCGTTGCAGTTTTCGAATTGCCAAAAAAAAGAAATATTTTGTTTTAAAATACCAGGCGTGGGAAAAACTCTGAATTGGTTAAAAAGCCACAAATTTATTCAAATAACATTGAAATTTGACTCATCAAATGGACGTAGTGCAACTATTAGTAACAATTTTTGATATAACGAATTTTTAATGTCAATATATCAATGTTGTTGCATTTTATGCAATAAATCACACATCCATATTGAGTGTTTGAATTTATTGAAACAAATTGAATACTAAAAAAAAAATATTTTAAAGAAATCGTTTGCCTATTGGCTTACATTAGTATAACAAATACATAAAAATCATATCTCGGAGTTATAAAATAATATAATAATATTTTTTTAATTTTATAGCACTTAAATGAGAAAATATTCGTCTTTTAAAGTAATTTTTCAATCTAGCATTAAATATCAAAATTTAGCACTGCAAATTAAATATTTAAAGCACTTTTTTATGTATGTTTTTTTTAATTAATTTTTTTTTTAAAATTTTAAAAATATCTACAATCATCATAATAAGAGAAAGATAAAGAAAAAATCTTCAATAATATTTGATTTCATCAATGTATTTAATTATATCATTATACTGACAAATTAAAACTAGACAACGATATGATCAATTTTTATACAACTATTTCTTAATAAAAATAATATTATGGTAATAATATAATAATAGAACTTTATTATTTATTGATTAATACAAACTGCAGCATTAAAGTGAATTACCGAAGCTCACAATCTAATCCGTAAATGAATTACTCAAATTAAACTATCTTTAAAGACAAATCGACCATCCTTATTTAGTTAGTTAGTGTTTTTGATTTCGCAGTTATCGTAATTCACCAACTAATCATTATCCAATCCATAAAAAATAAGAATATTTGAATGATTTCTAGACTGGAAGTGCTTTGCGATGACCAGAATTCAGGAATTTATGTGGATGGATCTGATTTAATATCAGATCGTGCATCTTGAAATGACTTTGAACAACAGAGTGAATACGGCTAATATATTTATTTTGCATCTTGACCAGTAATACTTGTTTTTTAAATTATTTTTCATTGCTGCATAAAAACATCGAAAATTATATTAATAATTAATTAATTATTTTAGGATATTTGCTTTGGGTTTTGTTGATGACTTTTGTATAACTGCACAAAATACGATTAAATATTAATCAAACTAACTGAATAAATTAAGATGTTTTTATAAGCAAATAAATAAATATATAAACAAATTAAATTCACATATTAAATAAATAAATTAATTCAAATTAACTAATTATATAAATAAATTAAACGAATAATTAAAATTCCAAAATTAAACGCACTTAATTGAAAATTTAAAGTCACAGACGAATTTTTTCGAAACTTGTGCTTTTTTCATTACCATGAAAACCACAAAAATGCAATTTATTATTCATTACTATAGAAGTAAGTAGAACAGAATACCCATAATCACTTTCATGTTGTACAAAATTATTTTAAAAGCTGCATAACTTTAAATTTACTTTCATTGGAAAACATGTCCAAAGCTCTTCTCCATATGCTCCAAAATCCTTACAGAATTGCATACTCGATTTCCTTATGGCGACTGTGCAAACTTGCATGCAGGCATGCATTCAACGAATGACAGACATTAAATAAATTCAACATTTTGTGTTTTTCTTCTCATAAATTGTTAAGTAAATTCTATAAAATGTGGAGTTCACATAATATTCTGCATACTTGAATTTAATTTTGTGAAAATATTTGCCATTTAACAAACACTTAAGCCGTCAATTTAAATATCCTTTTCGTATGCGTTTAATATACATTTGATATGGCTTTAATTTTTATTAGTTTCTAAAAGTGCCACTTAAGCAACAACAAAAAAAAGGATTTACAATTTCTTGAAATTGCACTTGAAATTCCTTTTCTTTTCATAAAAATTGACTGTAACGTAATTTGATTTTGTAGGATGTTTCAGTGTATGAAATGAAAATAAGTAGCTTAAAATGTAATAAGAAACGCATCTGTTCCAACATAAAGAAATTTTAAATGAAAAGATTTTGTCGAAAAAAGAAAGGAAAACTGATACTATACATCACAGTTTTCTTAAGAATTCGCTATACAAGACAAGCACTGCATTATATACATCTTGTATCCTTTTGATGACAGTATGAAGATAAAATGCATCTGAAAGTATTTTTATGGAAATACACCATCCATTTAACGTTATTTAAGTTCACTCTTCTGTAAATATACACTTGACATGCAATTGCAATAACATTTTTAACAACTTTTGACTTAAATGCAGTTTACTTGACACTATGATGACCTATTGAATGTGTCATTTCAGAGTTTTTTCTTATTTCAGTTTCAATAGTTCATTTATTTCATTCACAACGTTTCCACCTTCCTTATGCCATTCCGTGAGTTACTGAAAAAAATTTATATTTAATTCAATAACTTCACCTTACTACCAAATACTTCGTATGAAATCGTTGATTTGTAAGTCTGTAAACTATTAATCTTAAATAAATTTCATGGGTTATTACACTTGGCTACACTAACTTTGTACAGACTTCTATTTTATTAGTTTATTTACAACTTTTGCTGCACGCTTATCCACAAACCACATATTTGGACTTATAAAAACTAAGTTGTGTGAAGTAGAAATGACCTACCTCACTTTATATCGGCTACTTTGGTGTCGGTTTCAGTCAAAGATATCAGTTACATTTGCCCCAGAAGGCAAATAAATTCACTTTAAACTAGTAAACTGGTAAACGTTTGTAAATAAACTATCGCCCCAAAAGTTTTGCGGCAAAAAAAAGTATAACTGCACTCCTGAGAGCAAACCTCTGTAAACATAAATACCAAATGTTATCAACATCTGCCAGAATTAGTATTATATTTTCATTGACAACTTTACTATATGTATAGAGTTGTTGTTTTCATTAATACATACAAATTTAGTTTGTGCTGATATTTAACTTCTGACAAATTAATTAAAATTTTGTTGTTTGTAAATAAACTTTTGTGGTTTACAAAAGCAGGCCCAGAGCAGTTGACTTTAATAATGACAGCAAGATATGATAAAATTTGACAAAATTCTATGCGAAATTAATTTGAAACGATAATTGACCCAGAGCACTTGTAATTCTTTGGAATCACAATTTGGAAGCTCAAAATGGAAAAATTAATATGCATTGATGTGAAGTAATCTAATGCATTCTATTAGTCTATTGTGTATGGATCTATGAATGAAAAATTTTGTATAGATATAACTCTACCACACATGTCTTTGTGCTCTATATGGCACAGCAAGCTTGTTAGATAATGATAGTTTTTAATTGGTTCACTATGTTAACTAATATTTCATATTACAAGAAAAAGTAAAATAATTATTTAAATATGTGATAAAAAACATTTTAAACATACTTTTAATATTCAATAAATTATAGCGAAAAGTGAGTATATGATAGGTTCTTCTTGATAGATTCATTGCAATATAAATAACGGAATCAAGAGTATGACATTTCAAAATGAATTTTATAAATATTAATTTGTGTTAGATCCTAATCCTGATAATGACTCCCAAGGAGTGGCGAAATATGGAATATATTAAAAAATATTAAACAAATGCTTAATTTTAATTCTAACAAAAAGTAACCTATAGCTGGATATAATATATATAAAAAACATTATTAAAAAACCAGGTCGAGAAACAAATTCAAAATTTAATAGTTTTTCAATATTATCTAATTAATCCATCCAGTTGTTTGTATCTCAAGAAGCTACGTAAGCGATCTCAACAACTAACAAAAACCTATGTGATTCCGACTTAGTCAGTAACATATAAAGCGATTAAAAGAACATGAAGGGAGTTTGATCATTAATTCACTACTATAGATTAAATAGATATATATCCAAATAAAATTTGTTTTTACTATTCATATTTCCTATCCAAAATTCGGGTTTTTTTTTCAAATCTATTCATTATAAATAAAATTCTAATAAACCCAATTAATAAATTATGTGTTTAGATATATGATAGCTTAACACAACTTTAAACTAGCAATTAACTGAAATCAACTAGCAATTATTATACTGCTATTATTATATTTGCTATATTATAACAAATATTAGTATATGCAAATAGTAATAACAGTTTAATTATAGTTCATGCAATCATTAAAGAAATAATTCTCTCGAAAAGCATTGATCTCTAAGCCAAAATCGTAAAAAGATTTACTCATAAAAACCAGAAGCGTGCGGTTTGTCATAAACTCATTAAGTCAGAAAGTAACACTGCGGTTTATTAATTGTTTTCTTTGTAGAAATGATGGGATTTACGAATTAAAAAGAAAATTTCCCTATTTAGAGATAAAATTTATGAATTCACAACTTGTAAAAATCATATAAAAGTGAAGCCAATTTCTAACAATAGCATCAGTTTAATTTATAACTTAACAGAATAAACTAAAAATCATAAAACAATATGACTGGTTTTAAAGTCTTAGTACTCTTGTCCGTTTTCGCAATTGCTATGTCTTTGGTGGAATCGTCACCCTTGGAGGTGGTAACCGAAATACAGGAGGGATCATCTTATCAATCTGCATTGGGCAATACTTACTCTTCAGAGGTATAACAATTCAAATCTTTGTTTATACTAAATATATAATTGTTAAATTGTATCATCTCCTTCATTTTAGGTGGTAACCGAAATACTAGAGGCATCATCTTATCAATCTGCATTTGGCAATACTTACTCCTCAGAGGTATAATAATTCATATTTTTATACTGTATGTGTGATGATTAGCTTGTATCATCTCCTTCATTTTAGCTAAGCCTACCAACCGAAACAGAAGTGGGTGAACAAACTGAAGAGTTAAGCCGCCAGAAGCGTTCCTGCTATACAGCTCAGGTTAGAACCCGTAGTGGACGCATCATATCTGTACGAAGATGCAATGGTTAACAGTATTAGTTTAAAACATTAAAAACACTGATTGAATCAGTAAATCTTAATAAAAATATACATTTTGTTAAGTAATAAAATGAGAATTTTATAAAATTAAATAAATTATTTTTTCATTAAAAACTTCAGATACTGTTGGTCTCTAAAAAAAATATGATGCTTCTGATTCTACTAAATATTAATAGATAAATATTTAAATTTATTAATTATGTAAAATTATCAAAATTAAGTAATTTCACTACAACCATTACAAACCAATTAATTTATTTTTATAATGAAGGAAAGGAAACAAGGTTTCTATAAAGCATCAGAATTTAATTATAAAATTTTAGTGTCTATTTACTGACAGCCTTTTTGTCAAATTTAACTTTGATCACTCTAATTTGTCAGCCACATCAATTATAACACAAAACTACCGTGCTTCTCTCAATGACTTTGCTAGATTTGTTAGGTTTAAACTCATTTGGGTTCCTGGTCGGATATCTCGGGTAATTGTAGGACAGAGGAGCTTTCCAAGGCAGGCGCTCTTCTTCCTAACATTCACCTCTCAGATATAGGCGTTCCACTTGCTATAGTTAAACTGGCAATTAAACAAAAATACCTAAATATAGCTAAGCAATTCTGGGCTGTTGAACCTCATTGTCAGATATCTAGGTTGATTTGGTATTTGTGCTGACGGGCCACTGCGAAATAGGAAGGCATACTCTGAGACTGGGTCTACCCTGCAATGACTTTTGTCGAAGTTGTGACTATAAGGACGAGACCGTGCTCCATCTCATGTGTCAATGCCCTTCTTTAGGTAAGAGAAGATCAAAAACCTTCGTTGCCCCTATTTCGCCGAACTCTCATCCTGTAATGTTAGGGACTTAGCTGAATTCATAGAATTAATTGTCAGGTTAGTTGTCCTTCATCTAATGGGAGAGTCTTTACCTTTTTCGGCGTTGACTTTATACTGACTTAAATCTATGTTATATATATACCAATGCTATTCCTGTGGTACCACAATGGGCCACTATTTGAGCTTAAGTGGGCTTTTTAGAAACAAGGCCGCCACTTCAACCTACTTTAATTTGTTGTAATTATTTTATAGAACATTATCAGAAGAAAAATTCTTATTAAAATGTAATAAATAAAAATCATTTTAGTGCTATCAATATTTGCGAATTTAATAATATAAATGTAAAATATTTATTTTGCATAAAATATCAATTTACAATTCGAATACAAACGTTTCAAAAAAAATTTTATTGAAATACTATAGACACAAGTAAGCTTCCTCTGGACTTTATTCCCATATAAAAAAATATTGAAGCCATTAAATTTCAAAGGAAAAACTGCTTTGCTTTTGTTAGTGAAATCATTTCGAAATTGTCGAAATCATTGATTTATTTGCCAATTTTGTATTATTTAAATGCCAATGAAATTTTGAAATGTCAAATATTTTGTATTTAAGTGGTTTCTTTAGTATTAATTGAATTGCTAATTTCACAAATTGATATTTGAACTTAATTAAATGCTTCCACAATTAATGGTAACTGTGTTAATTAAAGTGATTTTACAATTATCAAATACTTAATTAGTTTTATTAAAAATGAAAATTATATTCTGCATTTTTTGCGGGAAATTAATAAAAACGAATAAGTGTACTTAAATATATACATATAAATATATAAATATAAACATTTAATGAATATTAGAAGAGCTCATCTAGTTATTGTTGATGATTTTCATGTAAAAATTTTCAACTTAACACCCTATATGTCAGAAACAACGTCATGTTGATAGTAAAGCTGTTTTTTCTATAAATCCGTGGTCAAATTGGAATCCATAATCGTATACTAAGCATACTCGTACTAAATTACTATATTCTTTGTGCATAATGTACAAAATATATTTAGATGCTATCCATTTTTTCGTTCTAACAGCAACATTGTTAAAATATTCCTCAGCGGATATCTTAAAGTACTGGATACATTTAAAGTAATTTAACTTGTCTTTAAATCCGTTTTCAAAGGGTCGATTTTATATTATTTACTTCTTAATGCTGTACTTATATATACTAACAAGCAATTTTATTCCAGTTGAATTAATTTAAGAAACAGTAACAACAACAAAATAGTTATGTTTCTACCGAACGCTTCCGAGTATTTCAACTTGCCATACTCTATTCTCTCAACTCCATAAGCACCTTCTCCGACTTCTCCTTTTCATAAGTGAAGGAACCATGCGTATAATAAGTAAGCATGTTTTGGTTTATCTTATAAGTTTTTGATAACTATCCCAACTATTTTTGCAATTGAACTCAGTTCTAGAACATTTCATGACACTAAATTTTAAGTACGTACTTTTCACAGTATTAAAATATTACGGACTTACTTTTCGTGCGATTAAGACAACTATCTGAACCGATGTTATCTTTAGTCATCCACAGAATAGCTAGCCTTTTCATTTGGCATTAAGCATGATTGTGAAGACGTTTCACATTCTAAAAGCATTTCAATCGATGCAATTGGATCGAAGTACGCATGGATCCCGCAATACTTATGTATGGTAGTCTTTGTACCTTTTGAGTGTGTTAATCACTGTTTTTTGCTTTATGAAATTCTCCAGACTACTACTGTATTATCATGGGTCCGACAATTGTTATATAAAACCATCGCAGTTGTTTTGGAGTATTACTCCCAACTCTTACATGCGATGGATCTGCATATAATGAAAATTTTAATATTTAATAATTTATTTACACAGTTCGAGATCAGAGTTTACAAGATCTTCGGCGCCCAAGATAACGTACTCGTTTTGGTCACACCAGCACATTTACTTTAATGTGTGTGGTTAACAACATTTCTGTAAATTAAACTTAGCAATGTGTTAAATTTATCCTTTTCATGAAATAATTTCTCTTTGCTATCAACTGCTATATTAGTAGATATAAGCGTAAGATGCAATTCCTTCATATGGGCTATATTACTTGTAGACACTAAGCGTAAGATACAGTTGTTTTATATGAGCTCTGTTAGTTGTAGATACTACAGTTAAAGGAAATAAAACTAAACGTAGCCTTTTTAAATTTATTTTTAAATGGAACAAATTGATTTTTTTACCAGATGTTAAATTGATCATTTGATATGAAGTAAAGAACATATTGATTCATGCAAAGTAAGTTGATATTATATGCAAACTCCTTGCATCAATATTATTTCATAAAAAATTCTGCTCTTACCTTCTTACTTTGCATTTCGTAAAAGTTTCAATTTCCATTTTTCAAAAAGTATTAGTTTTCTTCTTTATTCTAAAATTTTCTTTTTACTATTTATAAGCATCTCACAGTTGTCTGTATTAACAAAAAAGCTAAATTAATATTTTTTTTTAAAGTTTTAATATTTAAAGTTGATAATATCAAAGCTAGATAATATTAAAAAATATTTCTTTATTTTGCAGAAAATTCAATTATTAATGAAATTCTCACTTCGAGTACTTATTTTTTTCGTAAGAAATGAAACTTAATTATAAAGGATTGCTGCACGTGCAATCCGAAATATGTCAATCCAAAATAAAATTTAATATATTCAGTTATCGTATAGAGAATTACTTGGAAAAGAGCTTAAATCTCTTAATCTGATTTAAAAAATAAATAAATTTTTGTTATAAAAAAGAATTTGTGCTTACATATAAAGGTAAAAAATGCACCCATTAAATGTTAATTTAAATTTTTTTAAGTATAAAAGTATGGATAAAAATTTGCAATTAAAAGCAAATTATAAACAAATGATAAAACTTTTTGGTATGAAAGAGAAACAGCAAAGCAAATAAGTAACAAAATATATATTCCTAATAATAGCTTTTAAAACGTTTAATATAATTAAATTAATTAATTAATTTTTCATAATTATATATGTGAATTATTTTTCATTTTATAAGAAAATAAATTTATTTGCTTTAATTTATATTTGTTTTTCATTTTTTGTTTAATTAAGAATAATATTAATTGAGGAAATGATTAACTTACTCCACATATGAGACTCAACAAATTTATTAAATTATGTAGTTGTGAGAAGTAAATTAAAAATGTCATTAAAAGTGGTTATTTAATATTATTTTGAAAATAAGGAAATAATTAATTTTTCCTTTTATCTTAATAATTTTAAATTTTACGTATATGTGTTAAAACTGATGGTCAACATCGCGTATGAGTAATGGGAATTCAATACAATTATTGGAGACTGCAGTGACAGCACAAACAAACAACACGAAAGGAAAATAAATTATATGGAACATTTTTTGAACAGATACAAGTGAACATCGTTTTCCACTTGGGAAAAAAGTCATAATTCATTAACACGCAAGTAGGGAGCAATTGTTGTTGCTTTCGTGTTACTGAAAATTTACGCAAAAGGACTCTTTCTTTACGTCCTGCTGCATTTTCTGGTTTATATTTCCTTTTAAGTTTATTATATTTTCATTTTTATATATTTTTTATTTAACGAAAAACAATCATAATAAACTGCGGTGACACATTTCATAGAGTATGGAAAATTCCAAAAAAAATTGAATGATATATTTTTTCTCATTTCAGTTTTTATTTCATTGATTAATTATTATGAAATAAAGTTTAATAATAAATATTATTCAAAAAATCATCAAAATAAGTTTTTCAGAATAAAGTTAATACTAAATTTTATTCAATGTTTACTAATTTATTCGTAGAGGATAGTTAACTATTTCATACAATCCACAATCTATTAACATTGAATCCACACATAATCACACTCAATTATTACAGAAGATACTATCGCATTACAAAAGTGTTTCCCTCTCTCTTTTCCTGAACATAATCTTTAAATATGTATTATTACTAACACTTAAGTTCTTTTGTGATTTTTCGTAAACATATTCATCAACGCCTCATCATAAGATTTAGAAATCTTAACTATATTTATAATCATTTAGATATAGATAAGAACCTATAACAACTATATGCGCGAATTACAGAACAATCTGCCTTAACTCACACGCAAGCAAGGTGCCCCTTCATATAGGTAATACAGGAAAGGCTTAAACTACTTCCACAACCCAAA